TGGGAAGGAAGAGCCCCCACTCCCACAAAGCCCACCATTAAATTGATGGGCCTTTACATAGCATCTTACTTACTATATATGTGACATAAATTAGTATATACTTTTCCTAAGTGACTAAAATTTCACTAAAATAACAGATAACATAAAATAAATGTAGCTTACTTGATGAGGAGATGTCGTGCGCACGCACACACATACCCACAGAGATGTGGCTACAAATTTTATATATTTGATGTTCACAATAGTCTAAAAATCAAGACCATTTTAAAAAGGAAGAATAAACCTTTTTTTTTAATACAACACAGTTGTTGATACCTGATGTCCATTTCCTGACCCAAGGTAAAAGGAGGTTATCTGGCTGGACTGTCAGCATAAATCCAATTATAGAGCATGGCAAAACCTTTCAGAGCCCCAGAGATATCAATTACTTTGCTAGAAACCAGAGAGCAGATCAATATTCACAAAAAGGTTTTCAGGAACTATATATTGGGAGGGGAAGCACACACACATCTTTATTATTAAGAGGCTTTGGCCTTACACAACTCAGTGCAGATCATTCCAAATTTACTTAAGAAGAAGAAAAGAAACATGCCATTAACAAGAATTAAGCTGAAGTCTTCCATTTGTCCACAACAAATCACAGGTCTGTCATAGTACCTGCAGTTTATTGACCCAAGAGTGGATGCTAAGCTCAAAAGATGAATAGCTTCATTAGAATCTCAGCTTTCTCCTTTGAAAATCGTTTAAAGGAAACGTAATATTGAAAGTAATGAGTTATAAGGGTTTCTCATGCCATACATCTCCTGATCCTAAGCTTCCCCCTCCAGTATACTATGAGGTGTTAGGAGCTGAAAGCAGGCCAAATTTGCCTCCGCACTCTATTTTCCATCCCCCCCCCCGCATCAACAAATGCCCTTGCAGTACTTGTCGGGCTTTTTCTGAGGTATTTTTCTTCCTTCTTCCTTTTAAACGTACAAATAAATATTTTCCTACATGTGTGGGGAGCCCCCAAGTATGCGGAAGCCCCTCTCTCCACTACAGACTGTACTCATACGCATGTGGCTGACAAATTCACTATTAGAAAAAGACTGACTTTATAAAATGGAAGAAAGGTTTTCTTCATTTCAACCTTGGAGGGGCAATGATGGACATGTTATAGTTCTGACATTTACCAATACATTCAAAGCTGTTTCCAAACAAACAGAGCTCCATTTACAAAGATATGGTCTTAAAGCAACTACCTGCCTAGAAACCACAGCCTTGATTCAAAGCCCATTGGAACTAATGCAAAACCTGCATGTCTTTTCCTTTTGGCTTTGGGGGTTTAAAAAACCATAACAACTGATTTATGGGCACAGAACATGCATTCATCTATCATATTATCTCTGAAGCTGCCCCTTACTTGCACTCAGCAGAAGTGTATGAGAATGCACTAAGTTTGCCAACCCCCAGGTGTCACCTGGAGATCTTGTGCTATTACAGTTCATCTCCAGGTGAACAAAATCCATTTCCATGGAGTAAATGGCTGGGTGGACTCTATGGCATTATACACTGCTGAGGTTCTTCCCCTTCCCAAACCCCGCCTTCCCCGGGCTCAAACCCCCCCCCCCAAATCTGCAGTAGTTCCCAATCCAGAGCTGGCACATGGAATGTACAGGATTTAATTAATTTTTAAAAAATAGTTACATACTGCATTTCCATGTATAGTGTCTGAGGTGACGCACAATTTGCCAAAATATGACACAACACCCATCATTATCACACTGTTCAATTTCAATTGGGGTGATTAGAGGTTAGAGGGAAGGGTGAATTCTTATCCCAAGATCACTGTGGATAATAACCATCAATGGTTATCTTTCAGGAAGTCCACATTACCTTCAAAAAGCATTCATCTGGTTCAAAATGAGACATTTCTAAATGCATTTTGAACTAAGTCAATCTGATAGAGCTATAACCAGATTACAGAGCAATTTTACATGCCCACAAGGAACAAAAAGATGTGTCTAGCAAGATGGGAGCACAAATAGAAGTTTAAATAGTCCAGTAATCATTCTACAAAACAGAGTATTTGACACAGCAACAATTATGTCAGTCAGGCTGGTGCTGCTGCAGTAGAAGGGTCTGGTCACACGGACCTCTTACTGCGCTAGTTTTCCCGCAATTCTTATATCCGAGACATATCCGCGACATATCCGTGACATTTTATATCGCTAGTAGGTGGTCAGACGGTCCCTCTGTCTTCCGCTTCCCTCGCGCAAAGTACTGTTCACACAGGCGGGGTTTTTTTTTTTTTTGGTTTTTTTAAATCTGGGCATGCGCTCATCTTCCCATGCGCTCGGGCGTACATACAAACTAATAAAAAGACCTTCGCTGTCCTTTCTCCTACCCGCTGGCGGCAAACACCCCCCCCCAACCCAAGCACAGGAGCCGGGAGTGCCAGACCCTCCTCGGAGTGGGCAAGAGGTTTAGGAGGCATGAACCCTGTCGCCTAAATTTTCACTCCCCTTCGGGCAAGAGGCACTGCCCGGGCTTCCTCCCCTGCCCGGCGGCGGCGGCTTCCCTTCCTTCCCAGCCCGCCTCCTTTTCTCTCCCGCGGTGCCTTGCACTGATAAGCGAGGGAGAAGCAGCAGGCGAGGGAGTGGGTCTGTGTATGTGCAGCCGCCGCCATGCAGAGAAGGGACCGGCCCGGGTGGGGAGGCGGTGTGGGTAGAACGAGTTGGGAGAGCGAGCGAGAGCGGCTCTGGCTGGCTAGCTGGCCAGCCAGCCGGCGCACACACCCGGGAGCGGCTTTGAACTCGCTCGCTCCCTCCCAACAAAGTTCCCGGCTCTGCCTGTGCTCAGCAGGGTTTTTTTCTTGTTTGACAGCTGGGCGCAGACGGCGGCCTCGGTGGGATCTAAAAGACCAAAATAAAAGCTAGCGCCTGTTTGCACAAGCGCATAGCTAAAACCGGAAACACACAAAAAAAAAACCAACGGGGGGGAGGGTAGCGCGGTCACGGCGGATTGCTGTCCAGATACCAAAACCGCGGATACAAAGCGCGAGATGTCAGAAAACACCTGTTCCAACAGGTGTCAACAAAACGCGGATAAAAGATCAGAAACCGCGGGAGTCTGCCGGCTTCGGACCGGGAAGCGGGTTTGCCTATGTAGACAGGAAACTTTACTGCGGGAGAAATCAGCTGCGAGTCCGGGAAAGAATGTAGACAGGAAACTTTACTGCGGGAGAAATCAGCTGCGAGTCCCGCACTAAACATCCGTGTGACCACGACCGAAGATGCTACATTTGTGTTGCTGCTCTGGCACATACTTCTGCCTATGGACCAAACTTGTGCTGGAGATCTGGGATTGGACCTCCTGAAATTGTTTTCAAATACATGCAGGAGGCTCTGAATTTCACTGGAAATTCACTGGAACAGCTGCACTAGGGGAAGGAATGTTTAACAGATTGTACTTATACCCCTCTGGGCTATGCTGGGCCTAGGATATTTAAAGGTCCACAGGCACTTACATGAGCCTTCCTCTGCTCCCACTTTCAGAGGTCACGTGGAGGCCCTTTTATGTAATGGCACCTCAAATTTGGAGCTCCCACCTTACATAATTTCATTTGGTACCTGGCTTGTTGAGTTATAGACACCAGGAGAAAGCATTTTCATTTCCAAAGCATTCATGTACTGATAAAGTTGGCTCTGTTTATGAGTCCATTAGCTGGAGTGGGTTTTCTGTGTTCTTTGTATAGTTTATTTGCTCACTTATTGTATAGTTAATTTGCTCATTTATGTGGTAGCTCCTGTTTTGGATAGCATGTACTTGTTTTTAATTGCTGGAAGCTGCCCTAGGAGGTTCATTTAAAAAAAAAATGAACTGGATATCAATGTTTTAAATGAATTGCAACATTAGGAAGTGATGTTTAGATTGAAGAAAATGGTGTGCAGGGAAAAGTGTTAAACATTTCCTCTTACTACTGCCACTGCTCCAACCAAATTCCAATTCCCCACGGACTGATTTAAAGTAAAACACAAAAATGTCAGGAAACTAAATCAATGCTCTCTTGAGTTATGTGTAGCTTGTCCCTAAACTTCCCAATAACCATTCTATACTAGAAAGCATGTATGGTATAGAGAAGGCAGGACAACATCTGTAGTTCCTTCCGATACACCTGTAAACTAACTGCACTTATGGGTGGGATGGGATGAAAAGATCAGCAGAGGCCCTAGGCAGGAAAGTGTACTGGTTAGCCAAAAAGTTTGTATAGACCTGGATACTTGATTGTCAGGCTAAGGTAGTGAGTATCACCCTAACAGCTGGGTGTGGAGTTTATAACATGCACAATGTAGTTATTAGCAGTTTCAAGTGTCCAGAGATTATGGTTCTGCTTTGCCTTCAGCAAGGTTGACTCTCTCAGTGTGACTGATTTTGCTTTCTGCTTCCTGGAAATTGTATCTGACATGGATCATAATCAAAGTCTAGCAAATACTCTTTTAGCATGACTGCATCTGGGAAAGTGGGTGGTAATTAAAAGTTTGATATTTATCTGGCATGATTTCCCCACAGCTGATAAAGCCAATACTTTGATGACTTTAATGATTCTTTTGGAGAACGCAATTAGGAAAACCACCAGAGCAATAAAATATCTTTCTTTTTGACCTATGCAAAAGATACCAAGTTTCTTTGAAATTTACCGCCAAACACATACACTGGTTTACATTTGCCAAATTAAATTCTTACTTATATGGGTTTTACAATAGTTGTTTTTATTGCTTTTTAATAAAGTTTTATTTATATTGTAAGCTGCCTTGAGTTCCACAAAGGAGAAAGGTGGTTAATAAACATTTTAAATTAATTAATTAATTAACACCAATTTCCTAGGAATTTAAAAGCTACAAATTAAGTCAGGTGTTCTCCCATCATCTGTTATATAATGAATTACAATAAACTTTAGCTCCCTTTCTTGCTAGCAAAATCACTGCAGTATAGAATTAGAAAGTAACCATCAAACTTACTCTTTAGGGGGGTTTATGTCCTCTGGTCTAGTCTCAAAGAATCTGAAGACTTCGTCACACTGGGAAATATGAGGGGGAAGCCTCACCAATGCCTGTTTATTATTCAAACAAATATAAGAAATACAAAGTCATATTAGAAACATGCCATTTTAAACAAAGCAACAAGAAAGAAAAGGCTGAAATCTTTTGGCTCACATTAACCCAGAGCTACTATAGAAGTGTATACTATACTGTAGAACAGGCTCCTGAGGAAGTTAAAAGGGTACAATCCTTAGAAATTTTTGGAGGTGCTGTTAGGCTATTTTATTTGCTGGGCTTTAAATGGGGCATAGCTAGAAGCATTTGGGGGAGAGGTTATGGGATTTTAGGGTTGGTTTTAACGTAGACTTGCAAAAAGGGATGGCCACAAACTGGGGGAAATGTGGTTTATGTTGGTTCGTGGCCCTGCGAACCCAGCTGGGCAACCTTGGATCAGTCACAGTTCTCACAGAGCTGTTCTCTCAGAGCTCTCTCAGTCCCACCTACCTCATAGGGGAGAGGAAGGGAAGGAGATTATAAACCACTCTAAGACTCGGAGTGAAGGGCAGGGTATAAATTCATCTCCTTCTCCTCCTTCTTCCTGCCACTTAAGCTGTTTCGGGCTGTCTTGAGCAGTCTCTTTAAACTTTAAAGGGAATGCACAAGACAGCCCAAAACAGCTGAGCAGCAGGGAGAGCCTCCCCCCTGCTCAGCTGTTTTTTCAGCTTTTGAGGGGAATACAAAGCAGGGGTTTAAAGGCACTCAGAGTCCCTTTAAACCCCTGCTTTCTGCTGTATCTATGAAGCACCACAAACTGCTTTAAAAGTTCATGGAAGTTCATGACGGTCGACCCCACACAAACCTTTGTTTGTGAGCCATGATTTGGTCCGTGCCCATCCCTACTTGCTCCTTGAATCACAAGGGAAAGACAGTATATAAATGTTTTAATTAATAAAGGTTCTGACCTCATTAACAGATGGATTTCTTTAATTCCACAGAATGTGTAAAACAGAATTGTTTTAAAAGGGATTTTTATAAGGGGAATATGGTTATAGTTTTAACGCCTGTGAAATAACTTAGGCAATTTCATTGCATTGTTTATTGAACGTATCATATGCCATTTTGCACTGTTTTCTAATTTTGTGATCTAACTTTATTGCATTGTTCTCCATATTATACAGTTTTATTACCTTGTCCTCTAATTTTGGAATCCAGTTTTAATGACTGCCTGTGTTACACTGTCTTTATTACATTGTTTTTAAATTAGGTAATCTGCCTTGAGTCTCCAGGAGAAAAGTGAATTATAAATGAACAAAATAAATATTTAAAAGCAATCTGTCATTTATTTCTGTATCTGTGCTGACACAAACAATTCATATTTGAAAACAATGGATCCTTTTCATAATTGCAGTTTGATAAAAACAGGTTTAGACTGTGATTACTTTAATAGATTTAGGTTTTTCCTGCTTGACACTTATATTAATTAGGTCCATCCTCAACGAAGGTCTGTATTTTTTCCTTTTTTGTGGTTTCCTGGCTGCACTCATGACTGAAAAATCCGAACACCTTTTATTTCTATAGATTATGATCAGCAGCAAATTCCTCCCACTATTTGTGTGGAATATTGTGTTAATTTCATTTCCATTTAAATTGCAGGAAGGAACTACTGAAAATGTGAAAGATAGTGATCTGTAACTGCACTGCTGCAGCCTGAGATCTCTGTGCATAGTGCTTTAAGCAGCCCTCTCAAAAGCCCTTTCCAAACATTCAGTATGTGCGCATTTTGTATTGGGGGTGGGATTGCAGCAGCAGGCCCCATCCCATCCCTGTGCACAGTCTGCATGTACAAAATGTAGGATCTGTGAGCACAGCTTTTTACCAGTATAACTCAATATAAAGCTGCTTCATATATTCATACTAGAGAATGATATGGTTACCAATGACAGATGCACATGTTTGTCCCACCCACCCCCATCCCCTTAATCAGATGATACATGTGCTTCAGCACTGAAAAGGGTGGAGACATGATTTTCAAAGGGTTCTTTTCTAATGGAAAAAGAGAAAAGGTTTATGAAATGCCAAGAAATTGCAGTAAGGGAAAACTATAGCCCTGCTCACACTTGCCGCTTTAAAAGGCTAAATGGTCCCTCTAGTACTTCAGTGGTAGGAAAAGGGAGCACTCAGCCTCTAAAGATTTTTTAAAAATAAATCTACAATTTTTTTGACTTCCCAAAAAGTCACGGGTATTGGAAAGAGAAAATTGTCATTTAATGATGTCACTGGCACTAACCAAAAAGCATCCATGACGCTTATACAAGTAGATTCCGTAAGTGTATCTTCAGACTCAAATCAGTCATTGTCTCTCTCCAGAGAAACACTGGGAAGTGTAGCTCTGTGAGGGAAGCTATGAATTGTTAAGAGAGATTAAGATAAACAGTGTTATACTGTTATAGTGGTTAAAACAGGATTCCCCAACTTGGGCTGTGGTCACACACACTAAATTATCCACTTTCAATTCACTTTCAAACTGGGTTTTTGGAAATCCAGTCGGAAAGTGAACTGAAAGTGGATTGAATTGGATGATTTTGTGTGTGTGACCGCAGCCTTGGTGTCCACCAACACCAAGTGATTTGAGGAAGTGGGTGGGACCATGGGGCTTTTGCCCAGCAGGGCTTATGATTGGCCACTAAAAATCCGATCGGCTGCATAGATTAAAAAAACATGGTGGCAGCTGCCACCACAGTGTTGGTTATATTCACTCTCTCACTTCTCTTTCCCAATGATTTTTTAAATTACCCCTCTTCTTCATTTCACTTGGGCTTCCTGGGTGTGTGTGCATAGCTATACCTCCCATAGCAGATATTTTGTGGTAGGATCAACCACCCATAGCAGGCATCTTGTGGTTGTACCCACCATCCTGTATCAGAATTCCAAATGTGCCCACAGACTCAAAAAGGTTGGGGACCCCTGGGTTAGACTAACAGACTAGCATAGGGTTGCCAAACCTAGCTGACACCCTGGCAGGAGAATTTGTGGGGTGGGGACAAGTGATTGACGTCACTTCTGGAACAAAACTGGAAATGACGTCACCATATTGGGGCAATGCTCTAAGCTTCCCCCAAAACTCTATGTTTAAATCACAGAATTTTGGGTGAATCCTCAAGTGTGATGCTGACATCACTTCTGGTTTCATGCAAGAAATGATGCTGCGTGTTGGCATGGCACCTACCTCCCATTTTCCCCACTGTCAAGTTGAGATGTGGAACAGGGACACATGCCAGGAGGACTCCTGCTATAGAGGGAGACACCCCCCCTGCTGACTAGGATCTGGGAGACCTAGGTTTGAATCTCCATTATGCTATGGAAGTTTGTTGGGAGAACTTGGGCTAGCTGCACACACTCAGCCTAAATCACTCCAGAGAGTTGTTGTCAGGAATAAAACAGAGAAGAGAATGACAAGCTGCTTTGGGTCCCCAGCGGGGAGAAAGATAAGGTATAAATGAATCAAATCAATAAATAACAGAACATTCTCAGTGCCCTCGCAAAGCTACACTTCCCAGAACTGGAGTGGTGGAGGGATCGTATGACTGTTCAACTGATACAAAACCAGTGTAAATAGTTTCAGGTGGGTAGCTGTGCTGGTCTGAAGCAGCAGAATAAAGTTAGAGTCCAGTGGCACCCTTAAGACCAACAAAGTTTAATTCAAGGTATAAGCTTTCATGTGCAAAGACACTTCTTCAGATACCCAGTGTAAGTAAACCAATGTAAGTGTAAACCAGTGTAAGTTTATTGTGCAGCTATACACTTAATTCTTCTAGCTAAAGGAAAGAGTCACATTTTTCCTATGATAAAATATCACAACTTGAGTGTTAGGAAAATACAATATCCATGTAGCAGAAATGCTGTTCTGAAGGCAGATGTTCACTGGTGGACCTCCTGATGGCACTGGTATTTCTGGCCACTGTGTGACACAGAGTGTTGGACTGGATAGGCCTTTGGCCTGATCCAACATTGGCGTCTCTTATGTTCTTAAAAAGGTAACAAATATACACTCATTGCACTATAAGTGATTGATTAACTAGAGAAGGCTTTACATTCAAATTACTTGATTATCCCTATTAATCTTCCAAGACGGCACTTTTCCCAATGAGATTCTGATAAGAGTCACTCTGACTTCTAACTGTGATGTGTGGTTATTCAGAAAGGGAAGTAACTTTCACACCTCCAGTAGTACCAAATGGCAACTGACATCTAAACTGGGCATCTGTCTTCACATCACCTATCACTCCAACTAATGCAACAGCTTCTGGATTTGGTGCATCATCTACAATGTAATCCCCGGTATTAGGTAACATTATATTGATGCTGTCAATCACAAGGAAAAGCGGAAGAGATTGTGGCAGAAAGAATTCATGAAATGGTGGGGAAAGAGAAGAAGAAGAAGAAGAAGAAGAAGAAGAAGAAGAAGAAGAAGAAGAAGAAGAAGAAGAAGAAGAAGAAGAAGAAGAAGAAGAAGAAGAAGAAGAAGAAGAAGAAGACGGATTTATACCCCGCCCTTCACTACCAAAGGAGCCTCAGAGTGGCTTACAAACTCCTTCCCCTTCCTCTCCCCACAATAGACACCCTGTGAGGTAGGTGGGGCTGAGAGAGCTCTGACAGAAACTGCTCTGTTTCAAGAACAGTTGTGCCAGAACTATGGCTTGCCCAAGGTCATCCAGCAGGTGCAAGCGGAGGAGTGGGGAATCAAACCCGGTTCTCCCAGATTAGAGTTCGCACACTTAACCACCACACCAACTGGCAAAATATACTGTCTTTTCCATTGCTCATGTATCTTGATGGTGTTCAATGTTAAGAAAGAACTATCTGGCTCATATATGTGTGTGGCAGGCAACAGAAAGAGACAAAGAGGACAGGTAATGGTCACCATAGCACAATATTGGGTTTCCCTATAATGAGACACTGTGATATGAAAAGGAAGAGAACTGTGAGGAACAGGAAGGGTGGGAACATGTAGTAAAAAATAGCTCTGGATCCCTGGTGGTGTATAAATAGGGATGGAAAAAGTATTCCACAGATTAAGTACAAAACAAATGCACATTTAGAGGGGCTTATTTTGATCACAGCAGTTAAGAAGCCTTATTAAATTGTGAAATGTCTCTGACCCAGGCATCTCATGAAGTCCTTCTTTATTCTAGATTGGCAGAAGCTGCTTCAATGAGGCTGCTTCAGATGGACCCAGAAGACTTCATTTCACACTAAAATAATTCCAAGGCTACTGCGAACCAGGGAAATAATCCAGGGAAATAAATTTCAGTGGGCAACAAATATTTACAAGTGAAATCCACACCATCTTCCTGTTTACCAGGAAAACATCCAGAGGCCTGTTGCTTGTGTTTATATATGAAAACATACAGCCCTATTACCTAGGTTTCCTCACCAGGCTTCTTAAAGCCTTTGTCAGAAAAAGCTTAATTATCAGAGAACAGCTGTTTAGTTTAGGTGCTGCAAAGCTGTAAAACGCTACCCAGTCCTTGGGAGGTCTGAGCAGAGGTGGCATGCTCTCCTATATACAGTACCAGTGGCTCACACTGCCTGATCTGTTCCATGTCTGTTCCATGCGGAGGTACATAGTGTACCCTTTGGTTTTTATTGCTTTTTTGTCCTGAAGACAGAGCCCTAGCCAGATAGAGCCCTCACCTAAGCATTTATCAAAAGACGGCATTTTTCATTCATAGTGTCAGCTGCCATTTAAAGTAGGAAAAGTTCTAGTTTAGTAAACTAGCAGATGTTAACTCAACCTGCCCAGTTTTTTATATCTATAGTTCTCCCTGATTTAGGATGCCCCCCCCCGACTGCTATTTTTTATTATACTGAAGTGAGAACTGAATGACATTAGAATGTGTAGTGAGAAAAGAAACCAATATCTCTGCTAAGCCCTGGGGTTCCATTGGTTTCTGACTACACATGCTAATGTCATTCAGTTCTTGCATCTGTTTGTAAACTCCTTTATTACGCTGTATGTTAATTAGCTGCTATTCACAGGTCTTATTAATTACCTTCATCCAGTCTTAGCTATATTTACTGTTCAATTACTTATGCATCTAGACTCTAACTGGCCCTTCCTGGGATTCAGCAATCTTTAAATTCAATGTATAAATAAATATAATAAACATCCTCCTCACCCGCTACCTATAAGTAAAGGTTAGTGGCTTCTGTTTCAATGTGTCTGAAGAAGTGTATGTGCACACGAAAGCTTATACCCAGAATAAAACTTTGGTCCCATTCACACACGGCGATTTGGGCCAGTTGCGGGCCAGTTTGGGGGCGGATCAAAGCAGCGCGATCACACCACCACATCTGGGAAGCGTTCTGCTTCCGCACCCGAACTGGCCCAAACCCGGGAAGAACCGCCGCAAAATGAACCACCTACCTCGGTGGTTCAAGTGGACGCGGCGCTTCTTCCCGGGCGTCTGATCGCCGGCGCTCCCTTGCGCCGGCTCAACCCCGGCCCGGAGCCGAACTGCGCATGCTCCGACATGCGCAGTTCGGCCGGCCCCCGGTTACAGCCGTCTTTTCTCTCCGGCGTTTGATCGCGCCGGGGAGAAAAGGCGGCTCGGCCGGGGGATCCGT